GCGCGGCTTTGAAGGCGTCCGGGCCCCCGGGCACCGCCGCCCGTTTCCGCCTCCCTGGCCTCGGTGCTGGGATAGCGAAAGCAAGGACGCGTGTCTCCGCGGGGCTTTTACACGTCCTGGACAAAGAATATTCGGGGGCCCATTGATTGAGAAATGAGGGTTGCTTTGAGGTCGCGGTTTCCGGAAATTCTGCTCTCGACTCGGGTTGCGGGTCAGGTTCCAAAGGGACAGCGGCCCCCGGGTCATAATCACTACCTCTGCCCACTGCTTTCCGCAGCTGCTGGTCTTTGGGGTGAGCTGTTGGGATTCCCGAGCTTCGGGTAAGGCGCGAGTGGGCAGGAGATCTAGAGTTCGACCTCCGGTAACTGTCTTCAACCAGGGGCCCAGGTACCGACCCCCACCTTTTTGTTGGGGTCTCCACCCGCAACCCCAGCCAACACGACGTTCAGGCACCCCTCCAGGCCCAATTAGCTTCACAGAGGCTCGAGACTTGGGAAAACAAAAGAGGAGAAGAGAACTGAACCCCTCTCCCTGTGCCCACCCCACTCTCGGGACCTGGGTGGGATGGAGAATAAAAGAGGTCTGACCCCGCGGATTAAAACCGCTCCCTTCCCAGCCTCGTCCTACCCCTTCCCCTTTGTCCTTAATGTTTTTTATTATTGTCAGGAGTTGCCCAAGTCTCGAGGTTTAGCCAGCTGTGACAGTCACCCTTCCCACCGTTCCCGGGCTGTGACCCATTCTCGGGATACTGGTGGAAAAGAATGGGGGCTCTGGAGTCCGACGCCTGGATTCACGTCCCGGTTAGTCGCGTGAACCTCGATGCTCTCATCTGTGCAGTGGGAATAATGCAAGTTCTGGGCAGGGATGGGAAGAGTGAATGCGCTGGTACGGTAAGGTGCCTCGCAGGCACGTGAGGACCTCTCTAATTGTTAGCTATTGTCATCGATTGTATTGTTATTACTTCTACCACCACCACTCCCCCTCCTCCTGGGATGGTGATTCCAGGGCCGGGCGGCAGGCTATAACTAGCGCCCTTCCAAGTGGAACCCGCCAGAGCCCCGAGGCAGCCTAGGATTTTCTGAGATCAGACACACTTGGGGCCGGGTTGGGAGGAACTGGCAGGAAAAGGACTGAACCCTTAATGTCAGGCGGTTTTGAAGCACCTGGGGCAAGCTATGGAAATCCCCACAGGAGGGCTCACGCAGTCTCTTAGGCGGCTGCCCTCCACCTGCCACGTTCTTTTTGATTGACTGAAAAACGCTGAATGAAGAACGAAGTCGCATGGAAACCCTCGCCGCGCGCCAGCAGCGGAGAGCGCAGCCCGGGAGGTTCGGTGGGTACTTGCGCCCGGGGGGCTGCTCTGCGAGCGGCCAAGCACGGCGGCTGGACCTAGGGGGGTCGCAAGGGCTTGGCTGGGCCGCCGGAGGCGGGAGGTTCTTCGTCCTCCCGAGCCATCTCTCTGAACTGACAAGCAGGACTCCCGGGTCCAGGAGGCACAGGGCCCGGGGCGGTGACCTGGCGGACCGGGCGGCCGGAGGAGCCCACTGTAAATGCCGCAACTGGCCCCAAACACTGCGTTCCTGGACTGCACCAGCAGCGCCTGGCGCGGCCGCAGGGTTGGTGGATATTTTCTAAGGGGGAAAAAATATTTTAAATGCTATCTGTTTACTTTAAAATTTTTAATTACTTAAGAATAATGAATGGATGTCTGGGCAAAGATATGGACGTCACAATTATTTTGAAGGCGACCTTTTTAACTTTAAACAGACCACGCCGCCAGGAGGAGACTCCTGACCCAGAGCGCTTTACCTGAAATCTGGTGCGCAGAGTGCACCCTTCGCCCGCGTTGGAGTTCTCTCCTGTCTGCCAAGCTTTGCTCCTTGCCAGAGGTGTGCGCCATTGTACCTCCGCTCTGTCCCTGCAGTCAGGCAGCCAATTGGAGAAGAGTATAAATAGTAATTAACCAGGGAGAGTTGTAATTCAGAAACCTGGTTAAAACAAGTCCTCAAAAACTAGAGAATATGAGAGTGGGGAGACATTTTGAAGGCATTAAGAACAAAAAACGATGGGCACGGAGGGTTGAGTCTGAGGATCAGCATCGTAATCTGTTAGAGAACGAGGTCGTGGCTGTGTCTGGG